ATATTTATATATAAAATCCAAAGGCATGACACAACCTTACTGAAACTGAGGACCTGAAGCACTTGCTGCAGAAGATCATGGATGGTAGTCTTCAGTATGGATTGAAGTTCAATATCAGGAAAACAGACTTTCATCACTGGGACAATTGGCAGCACCGTGATGGATGGAAGAGATTGTTAACAATTACAGCTTGCACTGCTCCACAATCAACACTCTTGGCACCAGCAGTCAGGAAATCAAAAGAAGAATTGCACTGGGAAAATTGGCTGTCAGGGACCTCTCCAGAATACTAAGAAGCATCAATGTCAATCTAGAGACTAAGGTGCACATGATCCAGGCCATGGTCTTCAAAATTACTTGCTATGTATCAGAGAGCTGGACAATGACTAAGGATATTAGAGGAAGAATCAATGCTTTTGAGTTGCGGTGCTGAGTCTTGAACGTGCCATGGGCTGCCAAGAATACAAATAGTTCTGTCTTGGAGAGGGCGAAACCAAGTTTCTCCTTGGAGGCTAGGATTTTGAAGCTCTGTCTCACATACTTTGGGCACATGGCCAGGAGGGACTGGTCCTTGGAGAAGGACATCATGTTCAGAAGGATGGACAGACAGCGCTGGAGAGGAAGACGCCGGATGAGATAGATTGATACAGTAACTTGTGCAACGGAGTTAGGTGTTTCAGAGTCAGTGACACTGGCTTCAGAGCTGTTGTACACAGGGTCACTGTGAGCCACAGACAACTTGACGGCACATAACAATAAAGGCAGAAAACCTTGCACTCATTACCATTTTCATTTTGAAGATGAATGAGTTTATCATACCTGCTATCAAGGTCTTTTGACATCCTCATGCTGCAAGCAGAAGTCATTGTTCCTTCTAACTTCTGACCATCTAGAAGTGATATTACATGCCTTCAGTTTTTCATCTGGATCACTGAAAAAAAACAACGTATCCTTCATTCTAGAGGGTGGTACTCACAGACCCTCCATTTTCTAAAAACCTTCACACTTCACCGGGTTTCTTTCCATCATATAAATCTTATTTGGATGTCAGACTCAGATGAAGTTTGGTCACATTTCAGAAGGCTCAGATTTGCATCATTATTTTAAAGACCAAACATGCACTTCTACGTGTTTCTACAGAGAAAGCTAATTTCTCCAGCTACACCCCTCCCTCCATTCAGGATCATTGTGAGCATGATGCAGGCTGTCTTAACTAACCATCTCTCCCCATTTATTTTGAATCCCAGATCTACCACATGCCTGATGCTGGCTGCCTGAACTTGGACAAGTTTCTTAGAATTTCTACTCCATTTTCCCATCAGGGAAATAGAGGATATCATAGCATTAATTTTAAGTCACACACACACACACAGGAGTTTCCTTTCATGTTGAATTTTTGCAGTTTCAGAACCAAATCATAAAATGGAGAAGCTACAGAATTAAAGAAATATATTTTTTTAAATGTAAGTTCTACTTGAACATATCTCATGGAATATATTAGAATCCTCATTAAGAAAATAAGCTTAACCACATTTTATTTCACTTTTCTCTCTCTGGTTTTGATCTGCAGACCCTGTTAAGATAGGAACAATAAATAAATCCTTAACTCATTATTTGTGTGTGTGTGTGTGTGTGTGTGTGTACCGTCAAATCTGATCTGGTACAGGAGGAAACTGCCCCTCCTTCTCCATTTGAACCTGGTACCTCTGGGATTGCAGTGCAGCTTCTTGCCACTAGACCACCAGAGCTCCCTTTCATTTATTATTAACTTATTTTATCCCAGTTGGTTGAGGTGGCACTGAAAACTTTAATCTCCATGTAAAGTATTTCCATTCCCTTAAATTTCCCTTTACATATGGTGAATTCCTATTCAAGCACACATGAATGATTCATTAAATGAAAATGTAGCTATCAAATTTTATAAGAAGCTCTGGTGGTGTAGTGTGTAATATATCAGGCTGTTAAGTAGTTGCTCCACAGGAGAAAGATGTGCAATCTCCTCCAATAGATTTACAACCTTGGAAAATGAAGTCTTTATGAAGAAGAATCAACTCCACAAAGAGTATTGAATTTTATGGAAAGATGCCCTTAAACTCCTTTAAAAAAATTTATTTCTTTTCTTTTACTATGTTGTGAGTGTGTACCGTCAATTGCAATCTGACTGGTGCAGGAGGAGATTATCCCTCTTTCTCCAGCAATGCATCTGGTAGATTTGAACCGCATGCCTCCGGAATTGCAGTGCAACCCCTTGCCACTAGGCCACCAGAGCTACCAAGATTCCCTTAAACTCTTAATAAACCTATCAGCCATCGAAAGAGCATGGAAACAGCCCAATGTCTAATCACATTTGAATGGTCTGAGAAATTGTGGTACACTCACACAATGGAATACTATGCAGTACTCAGGAGCAACAATTTTGGAAAAGAACTACGTAACTTGGGAGAGACTGGAGACCATTATGCTGAGTGAATTGATACCGTCTCATAAGGACAAATATGGCATAAGACCATTACTGTAACATAGAAGGATAACTAGAAAAACATATATGGGGACCCAAAAGGGGAAAGGGTGAGAGTAAAGGGGTGAGGCTTGTAGAAGCAAAACCACAGGTTTGCACAATTTGGTGGGTAGAGGGAGAGGTTGAAGGAAATGAGAAGGATCTGGTGGGGACCTGAAAAGATAAGGTAATGATAGGTGTGGTCCAATGGTGATTAATTTTATAAATCATAATGCATGGGAATGATTGTATGAAACACAACATGAATAAAGAATAGTGTGAAACACACTATATACAAACTTGTAAGCAAACCAATATGAAATTTTTTTAAAGGTGTTTTTAAAAAAACAAAAAAGAAAACTATCAGACAGTTTTTATCTAAGTCATCCTGAGCCCCAATTCCTTTTCTCTTTAATGCACAATTTCAGAAGTTAAACAAAGTCAATGTGAAAAATAAACATTTATTACAAAAATTAAGTTTTGACATTCTAAAATGAAAGCAGACAATTTCCAGACTCAAAGGGCTGTTGTAAACTAGAGCCAAAAATTCCAAGACTTGCAATAATTGACTCAGCCTTATCACAAATGACCTAGAGTGAAGAATCACTCACCTCCAACTTACAAGGGCAATGAGTCACCTTTATTCCCCGTAGCTTCTCTTCACATAATCCCACCCTGTTCTCCAACCATGACATAGAAATAAAATACTTTAAAAATTTCCTTCTTTCTGAACCATTTCATAGTCTCTACTTTTGAAGCAAAATTAGATTTTATTTCCCTTTGGAAATTTTTTTTTATTAGTTATCCTTACTGGTGGATTCTCTATTTTCCTTTCAGATCTTGATAGTAAAAACAAATAAAAAATTCAATTAAGGGAGGGGAAGATAATGGTAACATATCACTAACCTCAACAGAAAAAAAAGAAGGAAAATCAAGCCAACAAGATTCCTGACATTTTCTCTTGCTATCTAATGTGTTCAGAGTTTAAAGCAGACAAGCCAACAGAAGGTTAAGGGCAAAAAAAGGGGTTGAAATGGGGAGAAAGGATTGTGTATTCCAGCATTCCCCCCTAAATAAACCTACTTCTTCAAATACCTTAAGAACATCCTTGCTTAAGGTTCTTTTCCCTATAGTATCAGAGAAACCCATCAAGGTACCTGTTTGGGCAGAAGCAGAGAGTAAGGCACCTTCTCCTCTGGCTTTATGGAATAGGCCCAGAAGAACTTTAAAATACAGCACTAGCTTCACCCTGGGTTCCCACCTCTAGCAAAAAGAAGGAGCCTTAGCCACTGAGGCTTATGAAGCTCTGCACTGAAACAGGAACCAGGAAGGGGCAGCACAGGGAGGAAGGATAGGAATCTGAGATCAGCCCCAGGTTGCTAGGAAGTCGAGCTTTGAAGTGTTTTCCGGTTTGTACAAGGAAAGGACCCAGGAATCCTCAGAGTTAATTTCTCCCCCATCCCACAACCAGAATCTTTGACAAACCAACTTTTTTTTATTTCCAGCAGTATCCAGGTACATACAGACATAAACACAATCTAATTGAAGAGCTAAGAAGCCCCTTAACACACACAATCTCATACACTCTCTCTCTCTCACACACACACACACACACACACACACACACCCTTCTAGATATATCTTTTATAGGTTTGTCCAATTGTCCCAGCCAATTGAAGGGTGCAGCCTTGAGCTACCAGATCCAGTTTTGTTTTCTTTAGATCAGTGGTCTTAAAACTTTTTCACTTCATGTTCCCTGAAAGTTTATATTCTCCATAGAATGCTCCCGTTTCTTCTATAGACATTTTCTGTGTCTGTCTGTCTGCGTTTATGAGGAAAATGGTGCAGGAGGATTCCAGTGGTACTTCCCATTGGGAGACAGACGAGAGCAGGCTCCAGATACAGAAGAGACATGATGCTGATCTCACCAAACAACCACTTCAGCAGCTCCAGCTGCCAATCCGCATTCTAGAGCAGTTCGGTACTGGAGGAAAGGGCTTAGACACCAGGCTTACGATCTCTGATATTCAGAGTCCACAACCCACCAAGTGGACCATGGGCACAGCATGCTCCTGGGAGCCCAGCCACTCTTGCGTAGAAGAGAGGAACCAAGTATCACTTAGGACTCTGACCTGATCCTGCATGGGACTAAGGACTATAAGTTAGACCCATGTCCCAGGGCACTCAGCAGGACAGGAAAGGGAGGGCAAGAAGAAGGAAGAGGCACATAACTCACTTTTTAAAAAATCTGCAATCTAAGGTAAAAGTGGGGCCCCAAATGGGGACTAGAGGACAAATAAGGCATCCTGTGAAACTATATACACCAGGGGCCAGGGCTTGATAGCACCTGGTAAAGCAAGCACAGAGGACAAGGGGTGAGCCAGGCCAGGGTCACACCAGGAATGATGAGGTCTGTCGGAACTCCCCCTGTGGAGATAAAACATTCAGTCACTCTGGGAATCTTTAGCTGGTAACGCCCAATATAAATCCATGGGAGAACCCCTCAATCCAGCTAGAAGTTCCTCTCCTTCTCCTAGCCAGATATACTCACTTCACTTCGAGCAGAGGGCTGGCTGTAAATCACCTTCTTACCGGAAGTCCTGTAGACAAGCCAGAAGAAACATGCTCAGTGGTCAAGCCCTTCCACTAACATATATTGGCCAAATCTACTGAAAGCTTTATGGGAAGCATGGACTGGTCGACAGGAAGTGTGGGAAGGGGAAATGCGGGAAAGCCCAGGGCCACAGAGGGCAGGGGGGAAACCCAGATGTTCTTCCCACCAGACTGGAAACCTCTATCTCCAACCTCCTCCCCTGAGCTCATTTCCACTTCAAACCATATACTTTCATGATGTCAACCTCTGACAGCCCCAGGGCAGCACCTCACTCACCCTTTCTTTGTTCCTGAAAGAGAAGAAATGGGATAATGAGTGTCAGCACGTGTAGCAAGATGAGGAGCACTTAGCACTTGATATATATTGGAGGGGTAAGTGGTGCAACTAGAGGAAACTCTGGAACTGAGGGCCACAGAATCTGTGTTCAAACTCAGATGATGTCCACGACCCACACCCTGGAATGTGAATGATACAAAGGGAAGCCTTTGAGGGCAAATATACTTACTCTCAAAATAGCCTCGGCTATAGGCAAACCAGATGCCAAAAATCAGGAGCCCAAGAAGAATGAGTGTTACCAGGACAGCTGCCACGATGCCTCCCACATTCAGCTCCGCTATAAGACACAAATGAGGCCAGGCATCGGTACTCAGGGTAACTGATACCACCACCACCACCAGGATGAAAGTCAGCTCTGCCCTCCATGCTCCCCGTGTCCAGAGCCTTGGGCTCAGCCCATTCTTACTTACCAGCTTCCATGTGCATAGTATCAGACTTCATGGCTGAGCCCACCCCATTATCTGCCTGACAGGAGTATTCTCCAGTATCAAAGGCTGACACAGGATCAAAGATCTGGAAGGTAGAAAACAAATGGGTTTCCTGCTTAAAGAAGCTAAGTGTCTCTCTTTTACGCCTCCTGACCCTAACACCAAGTTCATCTTCCTGCTGCTGTTTCCTAATCCCACCCTCTACCAATTACCCTCACTCCATCCATACCAGTTCTCCTGTATTTTGATTCAGAGTATAGGAAGAGTTGATGAAGGCCCGACTGCTCTTGGGGTCTGTAGGCACCTGTACCCCATCCTTGAACCAAGTGTAGTGAGAGGGTGGAGAACCATCTTTCTCGGAGCAAGTCAACACCGCTCGGTTCCCAATGGTGACAGAGGAGGGGATATTGACTGTAGGCTTGGATGGAGGCACTGGGGAGGGAGAGAAGGTGCTGAGCACAAGGGTCAGAAGGGCCACCGGCAGTCTAAGCAGCTAACTAAGATGACACATCATCCTCATTGCTGTTACCCTTCCAACTCCACCCTCAGCTTCCACCTGACCAGGGGCTCATCTCTTCTCCTTGGTGATGCTATGACTCTGAACATACCAACTACAGCAGTTGTCATCACTAGTAAGGTTTGAGGCATGAACTATAGAAGGAGCTAGTTCCAGGCACCCACAGAAGACGTATGGTACATACCAAGCACAACGAGCTCGACGGTGGCCTCCCCGTAGTTGTTGCCACCGTCCTCAGAGACCATACATGTATACGTCCCATTGTCTTTTCTGGTCACATACTTCCACCGAATGCCACTGTATAAAAATTCAACTCGATCTGCATAAGAAGCTACCAGGGAAAAGGAAGCAGGACAAGGACAGTGTAAGCTGGAAAGCTAAGAAAATGTGATGGTGAAGGTAGCACCCACGGTATGCACAGATCCTCTTCTCCTTCCCCTCTTTTCTCTCCCCAAGAAGGTTAAAGGGGTTTGAATGCCAGGCTGTGCCCCTTTTCTAAAACCCTGATCCCCACATCATCTCACCACAATTTACAGTCAAAAAGAGAGTGGAGAAACTCACCTGTGATCTTGCTGTTATAGCAGACAAGGCTGGTGGTGTCGCCATGAACAAACTTCCACTCCACACGGGGAGAGGAAAAGCCCGAGTAGGAACAGTACAATGTGGTAGCTACAAACAGGATCAAAATGAGTAGAAGGGACAGCAGCAAATGGTAAATAAAGATGGAGCAGCAGCCCCCAACCCCCAAAACTAACCACACTGGGCTGGTTAGTCTCTAGGCCCCGGGGGACTGGCACCTGTCCACTCTCATACCCACCCCAGTACCCTTTCCAACTCACGGTTATTCTCGGGAACTCTGACTACAGGTTGAGGAGTAGAGACTGTCCCGGTGCTGCATACCAGGGGGCCTGTGCAAAAGAGAGGTAGGCCCATCAGGAACAGACAGAGAAGTGTATGGAAAGGGAAGGACAAACTTGCTGGGTGGGGATCTGAAGCCTGGACTCTCTCAGCTTTTCCAGGCTGAGTTCTAAGGGAGAGGGATTCATGAGATCCAAGATCCTCCTGGGCTCACTACTATCCTAAGTATCTTCTGAAATGCTTTCTGCTGCAATGGCACCTCAAAGCATCTTTTATCAGTAGAAATACAATCTTTTATTTGACAAATACAATTCCTTTCATGTCTCTTTTTTTTTTTCTCTGCGATTCCACCTAATGAGATTCCTACTTATCCAGGGCAGCTTCCAAAATGACATTTCATGGCTGAGAGAAAGCTCCTAAACAATAATTGAAGCCTCTTTGTCGAACAATCGTGGAAGGAAGTCAGCAAAGCTGGCAAAGGAGGGAAGGAAAGGAGGAACGGCAAGGAGAATAATAAAATCATTCAGCATTTGTATAACGTGTGCATTAAAAAGTTTTCTCATACATTACATTGTTTGATCCCTAAAACAAGCATGATGGGTCATCAGGACATTTTATCATAATTTTACACAACGATAAGAAATTAAGAACATGCCCAAGATCATACAGCTGGTCCTGAGATGAAATTAGGACTAGCACTGAGCTCAGATCATTTCATTAAACTATTCCATTGGCAAATGGAGAAAGGTAAAGAAAAAAAAGGTACACATGAAAAAAGGGAGTGAGACGTGGAAAGGCTAGTTAACATGGGAGGGGGACAGATGCAGTGGAAGTCAAAATACAGGCCCAGATTAAGAAACAGTGATGGCATTCTGGGATAGCATGATATAACTGCTGCTATAAAATTATACTCAGACAATTACACTCTCCTTCATGTTTTCAAAGATTCAATTAATGAAGTATGGTTTTATTTGATTTTTAAGTCAGAGCTCTAGCTTCCTTGGATAGATGCATAGATTTGTGTCACACAAGTATATGTAAATATGCAAGCAACAGTTTTCCTTTTTAAAATTGCTCATGTAACTTTAAATATGGTTTCCTGACTTTCGAGACTCCTCTTTCTTGTTTGAAACACAAGAGTTTATACTAAATGTTCTCTAACATCCTTTAGATTCTTTTCTTTCTTTTTCAGCCGCAAATGTTTAGAATATATTTATTTAAATTTTACACTGTGAACTAGTCTGGACAAGTATTTTCTCTCATTTTATGGGTGAGAAAACTACAGATCTCAAAGGTTAAGGAAGGTCTAAAGTTTCATAGCTAGGAAACAAATAACAGAGCTAAGATAAACAAAAATTTACTTATCTCCTACATCTATCAAACCATTCTCCTTGGAGGCAAAGAAGATAAAGCTTTGTCTCATACTTCAGGCATGTTGCTAAAAGAGGCTATCTCTTGGAGAGGGACATCATGCTTAGAAATGCGGAAAGTTAACAAAAAAGAGAAAGATCCTCAAAGAAATGGATTAACACAGTGACTGTAGCAATGAGCTCAGTGTATCAGAGATGATGAGGATGACACAGAATAGGACAGGGCTCAGATCTGTTGTTCATAAGGTGGCTATGGGTTGTACTTGACTAGACGGCACATGACAACCCTAGCAACAACCAACTTCTGCAGTCTGAAATTGACCAAACATGCATTAGTAATAATTGGTGACTGGAATGCAAAAGTTTGAGACAAAGCCGAGTAACGGTTGTTGGCAATTATGAACTCAGGGACAGAAATAAGGCTAGAGATTGAATGACTGAATGTTGTACATTCAATGATTTACTCATCATAAATACTTTCTGTAAGAAACACAGATGTTAAAAAAAAAAGCAGAGATGGTGACTGACTATACATAAGGACTTCACCTGATGGACTGTAGAGAAATCATATTTACTACATCATTGGAAAAAATCATTGGAGAAACTCAGTAATAGCAGTCAAAACTCAGCCTGGTGCTGACTGTGGAACAGACTTGCACTCATGTGAAAGTTCAAATTGTAATTTAAGAAAATTAAAACAAGAACACAAGAACAAAAATACAACCATGAGTCTATCCCACAAAAATTTAAAAATCATCTCAAGACTACATTTGAGGCATTGAACATTAATGATTGAAAACCAGATGAGTGTGGGATGTCATCAAATTTATCATCCCATGGGAGAGCGAAAGGTCACTGTAGAGTCAGAGGAGGAAGAAAAGGCAAAAGGTAGAGATACTGAAGTAAAGGAGATGAAAAGATGAAAAGAAGATTTCAGCTTGAGAAGACAAAGCAAAATATTATGATGGAATGTGAAAAGAGCTGGTGTTGGAGAATAAAAAGGGAAGGACCCTCTCAGCATTTCTACTTTCTCAGCATGTCTACAGTCATTCTAAAGAGCTGAAAAATAAATTCAACTCTTGGGTTGCAAAACTGAGAGACGCTATAGGGAAAATGTTGAACGATCGATCCAAGAAGCATCTAGAAAAGATGAAGGGAATACACAGTCACTGTATCAAAAAGAACTGGTTGTCACTGCAATATTTCAGGAAGTAGCATATGATAAAGAGCCAATGGTGATGAGGGAGGAAGTTCAAGCTGCACTGAAGGTATTGGCAAGAAATAAAGCCCCCAGAAAATGATGGAATACTAAAACGACATGTTTCAACTAACATATGCAACTCTGGACTTGCTCAAAGTCTATGCCAGGAAATTTGGAATACAGCTACCAACTGACTGGAAGAGATCCATATTTGATCCCATTCCCTAGAAAGGTGATCTGACAGAATGTGAAAGTTATCAATCAACATCACATACAAGCAAAATGAGTTGTCCTCCAATCCTGATGCCACATTCCTCCTCTCAAATGTCCAGCCTCCCAAATGATCTGTTGTACATGCAGATTGAAAAGGTACAGAGACAGGAAGCATCCCCAAAGCATTCTTTTCCTGAATTTGAGCCATATGGTGTTTCTTTGCTCTGTTCTGATGACTGCCTTCTAGTAGAAGTATAAAACTGGAGGAAGACTCACCAACAACCTGTGTTATGCAGATGACACAACCTTGCTTAGGTGAAAGTGAGGAGGGCCTGAAGCTTTTGCTGCAGAGGGTTAAGGACTGTAGTCTGCGATACGAATTGAAGCTCAACATCAAGAAAATAAAGATTGTCACCACTGTGCCAATAAGCAGCATCATGATAGATGAAGAAGAGATTGAGATTGCTAACAATTTTAGTTTGTTTGGTTCCACAATCAACAGTCTTGGCACCAGCCATCAGGAAATCAAAAGATAAATTGCATTAGGAAAATCTGCTGTTATGGACCTTTCCAGAGCACTAAAGAGCAACAGTGTCAGTCTAGAGACTAAAGTACACCTGATCTTTGCAGTTACTTTTTATGCATCAGAGAACTAGATAGTGACCAAAGATGACAGAAGAATTGATGTCTTTGAGTTGTGGTGCTGGAGAAGAGTATTGAACTTACCATGGACTGCCAAAAGAACCAGTCTATCCTAGAGAAAGTAAAACCAAGCTGATCCTTAGAGGCAAGGATTTTGAGGCCATCTTACATACTGTAGGTGAGTTGCCCAGAGGGAATAGTGCTTGGAGAAGGATGTCATACTTGGAAGGATGAAGAGACAGCACAGAAGGGGAAGACTTCAGATGAGATGGATTGACACAATAACTGGAGTAATGAGGGTATGTCAGAGATTGTAAGTATGTGAGATTGGCTCAGGATACAGCATGGTTCAGAACTATTGTGCATAGGGTCACTATGAGTCGTAGTCAATTTGACAGCCATAATAACAACACCATAAGCAAAATATTGCTGAAAATCATCTAAAAATGGCTAGAACAGTTTCTTGACAGAGAACTACCAAGAAGAGGCCATGGCACCAGAGATATCACTGTTGATGTGAGATGAATCATGACTGAAAGCAGAGAAAAACAGAACAATGTCTGTGTTTTATTGACTATACAAAGATATTTGGCTGTGTGGATCATAACTATGGTTAATATTGACACGAATAGGAACTCCAGAACACTTACCTATGCTTATACAAAATCTATACCTAGACCAAGAAGCTGTTGTCAGAACAAAGCAAGGGAGCACTGTGTAGTTTAAAATCAAGAAAGGTGTACATCAAGGCTGTTTCCTTTTACCCTACATATTCAATCTATATGCTGAACAAATCATTAGAGAAGCTGGACTTTATGAAAAAGAATGCAACATCAGGATGGAAGAAGACTTATTAACAACCTGTGTTATACAGATGACACACGCTTGCTGAAAGTGAGGAAGTAAAAGCTGAGGTACTTGCTGCTGAAAATCAAGGATTACAGCCTTCAATATGGATTACACTTCAACATCGAGAAAACAAAATCCTCATCACTGGGCCAACAGGCAACATCATAATAGATGGGGAAAGATTGAAACTATCAATGATTTCATCTCACTTGGATCTATAATCAATATCCTTGATACCAGCAGTCAGGAGAACAGGAAATGTACACCATTGGGCAAGTCTGCTGTCAGGGACCGCTCCAAAGTTCTGAGGACAATGATGTCAGTTTAAAGACAAAGGTGCACCTAATTCCACCATGGTTTTTCCAATCACTTGTTATGCATCAGAAAACTGGTCAATGAATAAGGATGACAGGAGAAGAATCAATGCCTCTGAGTTGTGGTGTTAGAAAAATATTGAATATTACATGGACTGCTAAAAGAACAAACAGATATACTTTGTAGAAGGTTCAAAGTACTCCTTTGGAGGCAATCATAGTGAAGTTTCGTCTCACATATTTTGGGTATGTTGCTGTATCACTGAGTAAAAATCAACCTGTAGCTGACCCTCCAGTAGGTTTTAGAGGCAGTCAACTGCACAGTAGGAGGCTGCCCATCTTCTCCAGTGAAATAGTTGGAAGATTCAAACTGCACACCTTTGCACTGCCACTGTAATTCCTTACCACTAATACACCAGGTAGAGATATGGTTGCAAAGGTATGGAGAAAAGACACATTCTTGACACACTCCTTTCTTGACATTGAACCATGCCATGTTCCCTTGCTCTGTTCATACAACAGCTACCTGGTCTAGGTATAAGTTTCCCATGAGCACAATCAAGTGTTCTGGGATTCCCATTCTTCTAAATGTTAGCTATAATTTGCTGTGGCTCCACAAAGTCAAATGCCTCTGCATAGTCAATAAAACACAGACAGAAATCCTTCTGGTACTCTCTGCTTTAAGCCAAGATTCAGGAAGAAGAATGTGGCATCAGAATCAGAGAAAGACTCATCAACAACCTGTGTTATGCAGATGGCACAACAATATGGGCTGCAACTCAACATCAAGAAAACAAAGATTCCCACCACCAGACCAATTGGCAGTATCAAAATAGATCAGAAAAAGTGGAGGTTGTTAACAATTTCATCTTGCTTGGATCCACAATCAACACTCTTGGTACCAGCAGTCAGGAGATCAAAAGTATGGTGTCAGGGAACTCTCCAGAGTGCTAAGAACAGCGATGACAGTCTGGAGATGATCCAGGCCATCATCTTCTCAATTGCTTGCTATGCATCTGAGAACTGGACAATGACTAAAGATGACAGAAGAGGAATCTATGCCTTTGAGTTGAGGTTCGGGAGAAGAGTATTGAACATTTCATGGAATGCCAAGAGAACAAACAGGTCCATCCTGGAGAGGGTGAAATCAGATTGCTCCTTGGAGGCAAGATTGTGATGCTCTATCTCACATACTTTGGCTGTGTGGTCAAGAGGGACCAGTCCTTGGAAAAGGACATCATGTTTGGAAGGGTGGAGGTTTAGAGCAGCAGAGGAAGACCCTAGATGAGACGAACTGACATAGTGACTGTGACAATGAGAGCAATGTGCCAGAGACAGTGAGATTGGATCAGGAGCTACTGTTCTCAGGGTCACTATGAGTCACAGTTGACTCATAACAACAAGAAGTCACCAGAGTTCCCTAAAGCATGTTGTTGTTGTTAGGTCCCAGCAAGTCAATTAAGACTCATAATGAGCATATGAACAACAGATCTGAACTCTGTCCTATCCTGTGCCATCCTCACACTTCCTGACACACTTGAGCTCATTGCAGCAGTCACTGTCAATCCATCTGGCTGAGGGTCTTCCTCTCCTTCACCAACCCTCCACCTTTCCAAGCATGATGCTCTTCTCCAAATTAAGAAAGATGTATATCGGGGTTGTATCTCTCACCATATCTATTCAGTCAGTATGCTGAGCAAATTTTTTGAGAAGCTGGACTCTATGAAGAAGAATGTGGCCTCAGGATCAGAGGAAGACTCTTGAAGGAAGACTGCCTTCAATATGCAGATGGCACAACCTTGCTTGCTGAAAGTGAGCAGGCCTTGAAGAAAGTGCTGCAGAAGATCAAAGAATACACCTTCCATATGGATGGCATCTCAACATCATCAAGAAAACAAAAATTCTCACCACTGGACAGTTAGACAGCATCATGATCAATAGAGAAAAGATTAAAATTGTCAATTATTTCATCTTAGGTGGATCCACAATCAATACCCTTCGTACCAGCAGTCAGGGACGTACGTCTCCAGATTATTGAGGCACCGTGATGTCAGTTTGAGATCTAAGGTGCATCTGATTCAGACTATAGTTTTTCCAAATACTTGCTATGCATCTGAGAGCTGTACAATGACTAAGGATGACATAAGAATTGATGCCTTTGAACTGTGGTGTTGGAGAAGAGTGCTGAACATCCTGTCTGTCTTTGTTCCCATCCCCAAGAAAGGTGATCCAACACAATATGTAATCTATTGAGCAATATCATTAATATCACACACAAGCAAAATACTGCTGAAGATCATTTAAAAACAGGTAGAATGGTACATTAGATAGAGAACTGCCATAAGTTTAA